ATCAAACCGCCTACCGTGTAACTTAGCAAAGAGTCCGTTTTGCCTCATTTTGATTACATGCTCAAACCATTGCGTTGCAGTTTTTCGCAGAATAAACATAATTTGGGTATCCCTGATTTCTGTATTTAGAATGTGCTTAAATTCTTCATTGAGATTTTATTGTTTCGCCAGTAACATTCTTCGGGTACATCTGTTGTGTCTGTTCGATTGTGTTTGTTCTTCCGCGGTTTTTGTGTAAACGTGCATTTACGAAAGTAATATTTTAGTCGCCAAGCATACCGCACTCATTCGTCATTGGACAATGTTGCTGCACGATATGGAAAAGGTAGGCGCACTCATTTGATTGAACGAAACTTGACTTAGTAGCTTGTCAGCCGGACTTATGCATTTCCTTGGGTTATGCTTTTGTTGCATTTGTAGAGCTTCCGCCTTGTTAATATTTTCACGTTAGCTGTTGCTTTTAGAAACCAGGCTGGCTGCGAGATGCCATTTATATTTCCATAAATCATCGCCGCAAGTTACTGCGATTGTTGCGGGAGCAAGACGAAGCTTCTTTTCAACGAGTGTTAAAGGATTTGAATATTGCATATCACGTAGAACCTTTACCAGAGGATAAACCCCTGCAGACGCGCAAGGGGTGGGTGGAGTACATTGTAAGTTGATACATTTTAATACAATATACTTTAATACTTTAAGTTAATACTTAATATTGCCAGTTAATACTTGATATTTATTAAGTTAAAAAGTTAATACGTTCTTTAGCGTCATTGTAATTGTTGTGATTGTTCACATCATCGCTTTCCAGAAACTTCATTTTGATAATGTGTGGTTCACGTCATGTTGAGCAGTATTAAGACTAAGCGACATTGAGATGATTTATGATTTCTTGTACGGCATCTTCGGTAAACACCGTTTTTCATCATAAATGGTGCTCATATTTCTGAAAACCCGAAAGATTCGGCATTGGATAATCTGACACTACGAGATCATTTAATATCAGTATGATTTCATACCTTGAAAACAATTTCAAAAAAAATGAATGAATTTAAACTAGAAAGCGGAATATTTTGCCGATTTTGACTCATAAAAAACGAAAAATCTTTCTGGCAGGGGCTGGAGGTTCTGTCTGTCATGATATTTAGTTTATCATCTTTGCTGTTTTTCTAGTTATGGGATAAGTTTTGAATATATTATCAGTGTTACTTGACTGATCAAAATTTTGTTTTTGCACTTAGCCAGAGTTATTTACGCAAACATCAGAAGGTGGAAAATTGAAATTATTTTGCCGTTTACCGTTTCAGTCTGGAATCAGTATTTTTAAAGTGAAATTATTTTTCTTTTAATGGTTGATTGAGTCTTTTATGGGAAAGAGCTAGAGAGTAGATTGACGGTTTTGTAGCATTATCTTCGTGATAGAAGACGACGAAACTGGTAAACAGTCGAAAAATTTGATAGCACATCTGGTTACATTTGATAATATAACATAATCTGATAAAATTTTGATTTCGAGCACTAGAGTTTCACGTTGTTCTATGAAAATAAAGTTTTTTAAGGATTAGTAGAAGTGACTTAATAATGGGTACACTTTTGTTTTGTTTCATAAACCCATAATGGACTTTAAAATAATTCCGCCGTGGATAATAATAATAGTTTTACCATGGATAAGTTTTTCCTTTGATTTTAATATTAAATTGTAGAAACATTTAGTATATCGTTAAAATGAGCTTTTTAGTGATAGTTTGAGATTAAGCTGTATAAGGAATGTTTCGCTGGAGATCATGCATTGAAATTTCTGACTGAACTTCTTTTACGACAGGCCGCAGTTTCTTTTCAGTTTCCCCATCATAGTTAGCTTTTCGAACTGACTGAATATGTACTATTGTTAGTAACATGAATTCATTGTGAAACGACTAAAAAAATTAGGCAGGTTTCGGTGCTTTTTTATTCAGTGCTACTCTTGCATCTGAGTTGTAAAAGGTTCTAGACTATTTCTACATTCAAATCTTGAAAAAAACCTTAAAACTCATTAGCTTAATTTGCGGTTTCAGAATGCTGATTTTTAGCCGTCACACTAAGTTGAGAATTCTGTGAAATTAATCGATTTGTTTTTAGTATATTTGGCATATTGACCACGTTAGAGATTCTTGTCGGTAAAATTATGCTTTTAAAAAATGAAACTGAAATGCCAACTTCTGTTAATTTATGCCATGCCGCGTATTGCTTGTATCATTATGGTAGTTCTGCTTTTAGAAATGGCTTCACTTCTTGATTTATGGTTTGCTACTTTTCATTTAGATAAAGGAGAAAGTCGATATTATTAAGGAAACAAAATTGCGCGAATTTCATGAAGAACTTAAAAAGAGACAGAATGCGTTTCTTCGACAAAAAGAGAAGCTTCTGTCAGAATTTGACGCGGAAGAAAAGCGAATACGATCAGAACTTGATTCATTGAAAGATGAAGACGATAAAATATTAATTCCGGTTGGGCGATACGTCGGTCATACAATAGATGAAGTATCTGAAAATGTTATGCATGATTATTATTATAGACCAGTCAAAGGTTCTGCCGTTTCTTCAACGTAATTTTTTCATCAGTTCATTCACCTTTGTACTTTCTTGTCTTATTGTTGTATAAAGCTTCATTGTCATTGCCTTGAAATTCGACTTCACAACGAAGTAGTGATCTTGGCAGGATGTTAATTTTCTGTTCCAACGAAGAGTGCATTTTACTGTTTCACAACATTATTCCATTTTTATCGTATAATAGTAGTAGCAGTGTAGTCGAACACGAAGTGAATATTCAAAAATTCCCTTCTGAGGGGGGGGGAACCCGATATTAAGTGACTGAATTTAAATATATTACTCGAGTTCTTTATACACAAGTATTAAACTCGAAAATTGAGTATTCTGTTATGGAGAGATTAATTCTATTGTTTTCAAGTTTCTTACGGCATTTCTTGACAGGCTAACATCACTGTCCCTTGAAAGTGAGTATAATATAATTCGAGACAAGTGATTTATCTAATAAAGTGCATATATGAACGCTGCGACTGACAGTCCCAAGCTAAGATGACAAAGGAGTAGGGTTGGGGACTGCGATGAAATCCCCCTTGGAATATGACGAGCTGTTCGTAAGGGAATTGACATATAGCTGTTCGTAAGAGAATTGACGAATGTCATTCATGCTCGGTCGTTGTTAGAGTTATCAAGGGAATTGCAGGTTGTCCAGCAACTGAGACAATCTGCTAAAATGGAGTTCAGAAAGTGTTTCTCGCCTTCTGGCACCTAAGGGTTTTGCAGCACCACGATGATGGCCGAATATTCGGAGATGATTTATATATCAGTGAACAACGAAACCGTCATTCGTTGTACCTCTGTTCAAGAAGGGAGACCATGGGGGTAGTATTACCAGGCGTTATGGTACGTCTGCCTGGAAAAGTCTTTGCAAAATCGCTGGGACAAAATGCCGTTGAATAATTTATTCTAAGATACACGTGTTTATTCACGTTAATCTGAAGCCCCTTCCGACCAGGGGTTCGTTTCACGCAATGTCGTTGATATATCATGAGCTCTTTCATATCCGGTTAGATGTGCTCTGTGGACCTAAAGGAAGCCTATAAGCAGCTCCAGCGCCACAACCTATGAACAAACCTGGAAATGGTTGTAATCGATCCATCTACGAGCTATCCAATCATTTTATGCTGACAGCAGATGCCGCGTCAAAATAAATGGCGTGATGTCGAGGCCATTCGAAATTGGCAAAGGTCAGCAAAGGTCTCCGCCGCGGCTCTGTTCTGTTCCCGTTCTTGCTTATGTTTTATATGATTAGAATTGTCAGGCACAGCCAGGATGATGTGCGTATTAGTGT